CATACACATTTTGTAGAGTTTAGTGGCAAGGCTCCAGTAGTTCTAGACAAATCTTGACATGACTGTTTGAACATGGGGGGAATTGCAGCTTAACCCAGTCATTTTTTTCTCCTGCTGTTATGAAGTTTTCAGACAGGAGAAGGCCTTCAGTCCATCTAGATTGGCAGTTTTCAACCTTCAACCCAATTCGCTGTACAATACTGGAGCCCTGACATTCTAGTCCTTGAAACATAAATGGCTTGATCTGATTTAAGTCTATATTTCTCATTTGTCTAATCACCTGGTGTGGATCATGAGAGTCTGGTGGCATTGGTATCTCACTGGTGAGCAAATTCTAAATCTAATAAACCACGCAAAATCCTGGGATGGAGGGTGAAACAGTTGCACAAAGGCCGGATTCACGTTACCAAGTCACCCTTTATTTACACATGCACAGTACACTGGCTGTGACCAGCCAGCTCGGAGTCAGTCCCTGAACTGAGGAGATTCAGAATCCCCCGTTTATATTGGTCAGCCAGGGCTTCCTGATTGGCCCGGGTTAACAACCGCAATCAAGGATCTCAGTCAACAAGATCCACCTGGTCCCAATTACTACAAAGGGTTTGGTGGGGAATGTTTGAGCAAGTGGGCAAGTCTTTATCAGAGTTTAGAAGAATGAGAAGATTCCAAGGAGACTTAACAGGGTAGATGCTGGGAGAATGTTACCTTTCATGGGACAATCTAGAGCTGGGGGCCCCCATTTAAAAGTAAGGGTCTCCTAATTAATATGGAAATAAGCTGGAATCTCTCTGAGGGCCGTTAGTCTTGAGAATTCTTCTCCTTAGGTAATGGTGGAGACTGAGACATTGAATGTATTGAAGCCTGAGTTTGACAGATTTTTGATTAACAAGGGAGTTGAAGGTTAGAAGGGTAAGACAGGAAAGTGGAACTGAAGCCATGGTCAGTTCAGCTATGGTGTCATTTAGTGGTGGAACAGTTTTGATGGGTTGAAAGGTCTGTTCATGCTCTACTTTTGATGGGAGCTTATATGTACAGATTGTCAGCAGCTGTCCTACAATGATAGAAAGCACTTCATTGTCTGTAAAACCCTTCAGAGATCTCAAGCATGTGAAAATTTGTAAATTTCATGAGATGCGTAGAAATAAAGTGGTGCATTTAACTCCAAAGGTTCACAGATTGAACATATCTGAGGAAGCTTTCTCCATCATGCCATCTGCTTTCTCTTGACAAAAAAAAATAGAAATGTGGATGCTAGAAATCAGAAACAAAAATAGAAATTGCTGGAAAAACTAAGCAGATCTGGCAGATTCTGTGGTGAGAAAGCAGAGTTGATGTTTCAGGTCCAGTGACCCTTCTTCAGAGTACAGTTCTGAAGAAGGGTCACTGGACCCTGGACATTAACTCTGCTTTCTCACCACAGATCTGCTAAGGTTTTCCAGCAATTTGTTTTTGTCTGCTTCCTCTTCCTTGGCAAACATTTATATTAAAAAAGTCGCAAGTGAGGTTAGCACTGTGGGTCAATGACCTTCTGCACTTTCCACAAAAAGTCATTAGCTAAAATGTCCTTCTGGCCTGCTAAATGGATTCCAGCTATTTCCAGTTTTGGCTTTATAAAATTTTGATTGTTAAAGCAACTGTCCCAAAACAGTGAAACCTTTTGATGAAATAATGATGTTTACTTTGCATGCAGCTGAGGAATGTAAAGAAGCAAACATGGATGAAAAGGCACCTGACGGGGAGGAGGTGGAAGATGACGACGACGACACAGACCCAATCACTGAGGTTCGATTTGTGCCAGTGGATAAATCAGCATGTGAGTATAAAGCCCTAGCAAAAACTGAAGAAGAGTCATATCAAACTCAAAACATTAACTTTTATTCTCGCCATATATGCTACAAACCTACTGAGTTTCTCTCAGTTTCTTCCTTTTGTTATCCATCCTGCATGGAGGAGACTTCCTGCCACATCCCCTAAACTGGCTTGTCACCAGTGTGAACCAGTCTTACTCCCCTCTGCCCATCTATGTGGTCGAGAGCTTGACTTTACTCTTCCAACGATGTTTTTCCAGTCTTTTAGCTGTTTTAAATTCATTCAGTCCACTGTGTCTGCATTCGTTCTTAAATAGGAATATCTTCAACTCGTCCCTCTGCCATCTTCTGTCCCCATAGTCCTATACCTCTGTTTCACAACCTAAAATTGAAATATGTAGTGGTATCTATCCTGACTAGCCTCTGCGATGAAGCATTCTATTCTTCAAGCCTCCAAAAAAAGTAAATTTCTCCTAATCCTCTGGTTAACTTATGATACGATTTTAAGTTGATTTTTGCAAGTCCATGACTCCTGAAATGGAGAAATTTGCCTTTATGTGCTTACTCTATCATTAGTTTATCATTACTTTAAAAATGTCTGTTGCAAAATACTTGTATTTATAGAATTTCTTTTACATCCCCAAGCCATCCCAACTTATTTTTCTAGCTGATTAAGTACTTTTGCAGTGTAGTCACTATCATTAACTAGGCAAAGATGGAACAGCTAGCCTGCTGAACAAAGTTCCGCAAAGCGAAACAAACTGGACAACCAGATAACTAATAGAAAAGCAGAATATTGCAGATGGTAGAAATCCAAAATAAAAAACAAAACATTGCACATACTCAAGTCATAGAGTCATACAGGTCAGGAAGCATCTGCAGAGAGATAGAGTTAGCATGTCAAGTTAAAATGTTAACCCTGTTTCCCTCTGTAGATGCTGTCCAATCTGTTGAGTTTCTCCAACTTTTTTTTGCCTTTATTTCACTAAACCATTAGCTTGTCATTATCACATCGCTGTACTTTGGACCTCGCTGTGTGCAAGTTGGATGCTGTGGTTCCTGATGTCCTTAATTAGCTGGAACACACTTTGGGAAGTGCTGAAACGTCTGTATAAATGCAAGCTGTTCACTGTTCCTTTACAGTGGAGCCGATGTTTACCGCAATGTGTGACTGCCAAGCCCTACACCCTGACCCAGATGACACTGACTCAGAGAATGATTTTGAAGAGGATGACGAAGAGGGCGAGGAGTACGATGTGGAGGCACATGGTCAGTAAATTCTTCCTCCAAGAAGATTATATGTCTATATATATATATATGTATATAAAACAGCTACTTCAGCAATCGAAGCAGAACTATAATTTTCTCTGACCTGTCATTTACTAGTATTTAAAGACCAAAAACCTAGTAGGGTGCTACTTATCATTTAGCCTTGTCTCATATGTAGCCAGTGCTGTACTATGGAGGCCTTGTTAAGTTTTGGACCACCATTTACAATTGTCCTTTGGATATGGAATATGAACAGCGTTGCAGCAAATGTGTTGCAGTGCATATGGTATACAGTGGCAATGAATTAAACCAAGTAGCTGAGGGTGTGGGTATTTTGGTCCCGCCTTTCACATTGTGCGGCTATCCACTCTACCACATTCAACCATGGCTGAAGGGGTAGCCCTCTTGCCTGTGCTGCTCTTTGTGGAAGCTGGCAATCTGTAAATCATGTTTGCAACCATAACTGCGTTTCAAAAGCACTTGGTTGGATATCAAATGCTACAAAAATACAGGCCTTTCTGCCTGATGTGTTTTATCTGCAACCAGTCTTGACCTTTATCCTCCTTGGTTACAGCAGTTTTGCACAGAGACTGAATATCCAGCCAGCAGTGGACAGTGTGGCAAGAGCCAAGGCATCGATTACAAAGACCATTTCCTGGTTCACTTTCTGGGAGTGAGTTTCTCTCCAAGTTCAGAATCTTCCACTCTGACTGTGGACAAAGAGACCCATCTGATGAGCTGGTCAGTAAGAGTCTGCTGCTTGGCCTATACTCAGTGAAATAACCTCCACTCGGGAGGAGGTTGGAGAACTGCAATCGACCAAATGGCTTCCATTGAGCCAATTATTCCCTCAAGTGACAAAGAAACAAAGTACTTGGCAGTACACAACAGGCATCTTTAAGAAATAACTGGAAGCTAATGTTAGGGAAAATGAAACGATACATACATGTCAAAATAGACAGAGTGGGAGGGAAAATGAAGGCGACCACTCCAGTTCTAGAGAGGGAATTGGATGGCATGCAGATTGCTTCATCGTTCACTGTTAGATTGTGTCTTAATCCCCAATACCTTTGGTCCCTCTTGTTTTTGTTTTTCATCACCGTTCCTTTTTTGTTGGTCTTGAGTTTGCCTGCAGTTTGGAGCACAATGGATATTTTGCTAGCAAGTTCAATGAAAGCTTAATTGAGGGATGAATTCTAATCAGGCAAGAAACAACACAAATTGTTGAGTCTGAGCAGGTGACTTATATTGTGAACTATTGGCAGCTTTTGCTGGCTGCCATGCTGCTGACAAGATAGATTTCTTTTTCTTCTTTGGCACCTGGCAGGGGTGTCTGGCTTTCTGCCTTGACCCAATACTGAAAAATTGCTCTCAGAGCTCAGTTCTGATTACCTGTATGCAAAGATTTTGAATGGTAGCATAGTTTTATAAAGTCATCTCAGTTTGCCATTGTATGGTTCGGAAAGATATTACAGGAAGAAAACTGACCAGTGCATTAAAGTGACTTGAGGGTGGAGATGATAGATGGCGCTTTATTTTGCCAGGGGTGTGCTTAGAATGCCTTTTAAAGTTCTTTCATCCCTCAGGCGGCACAGCATCCATTCCATACCAAAGACCCAAAGCTAGCTGGGCAGCCCAGGATGAGTATTTCCACGTTGTGACGGTACTTTGCTGCAGAGCAACTAGGCATGCTGGGATTTAAGGAGCAAGGCGAGAGCAATTGCTGATAGCTGTGGAAAATGGGTTAGAACGCTTTGAGCTCATTCAGAATAATGATTGGAGAATTGTGTTTTTTAAAAAGTATTTGGATAATTTTACTTGATGCAATTTCTTTTTTAAGTCTGTCTTTGCTGAAAAGCAAGATTGCAGGATTTGTCAATCTGCAGGAGTGTGATTTCCTCTTCAGAAAGAAAATACTTTTAGCAGCAGTATTTGCTACTCAGCGACTCCCTTTATTGAACAAAACTGCTCATTCGCAAATTAAGTTCCCAAATAACAATTCCAGGTTGTCAAAAATGTCATTAAACACAGACAGTTGTCTATCTTGGAGAAAATTGAACATACAAAGCCAGAATTCAGTATTTAAAACTTAAGATGAGAAGTTTCTTCAGAAGGTCAGCAAGCTTTGGTGCTTTGTTATCCCTGAGAGTCATGAAGACTCACACAATGTACCAAGGCTGACACTGACAGATATTTGGACTATTGGTGATTCAGGGGTTATGTAGAACAGGCAAGGAAGTGGAGCTGGGACCAAGGTCAGACAGCCAGGATTCTTTTGAATGGCAGAGCCATGACAACTTCCACCTTGACTGAGATGAAGAAAATTTCTTTTGAGGGTTGAGTCTTTGGAAGCCCTTGCCACAGAGAACTGTGAGGCAGAGTCCTTGTATATATTTAAGGCTGAAATAAGACCAATAGAAGAATCAAATGTTACAGGGAAAATGCAGGAAAGTGGACATGAGGAATATCAGGTCAGCAATGATCCTGTTGAAAGACGGAGCAGGTCAAATGGCTTACCCCTGTTCCTATTTCTTACTGACCTATGAAGGCCAAGGGCAGCAAGTACATGGGAGGACCAGCGTCTATAGGTTCCCCTCCACACCACTGTCTCAACCCTGACTTAGAAATATATCGCCATCATATCGGATTCAGAATTGATATTGGAACGTGGTCAGAAAATACATAAGTGAATGAAAGAGAATGGCGTAAGATGAGTGCGACGTAGCGACAATAGATCACCTGGCAGGAGAAGCAGCATTTGAGAGGAGCGAATGTTTTGTCTTTGATTTTAAATCTGCAGCTATAGAATGTATCACCATGGTGTGTATGAAGCTTATGAAGCTTTTTCCATCTGCTTTAAGGGCAACCTCTGAATCACTTGGCCAACTTGGTATAATCAGTACCTGTGTGTTAGAAGAATGAATAGAAGATTCTTAGGTGATTCAGTTCTTGTGCCCTGTTCTGTTAAAACTATCTGCCACCCCAATATTCACTGCTGAAAAAGGCCATTCAACCCATCTTGACTCATCCATCCTCGATGATCCTAAAATTCTGGCACCACCTCCCCTTATTCCATTGCAGTAACTAATTGATTGTTGAATGATTCCTGGCTTTTGTTTTACTTTGGAGTGCATACATGTGATTGGATTTTTTTTTCTATTTAGCTTCCAGCATCCGTGCTGAATGTGCCTGTTACTTATCTGTATGCCCTGGTCCTGTTGCTGAAGTTTAATTTAGTGATTTCTCAGTTTTATTTTTTGTGTACCATTTGCAGTCTTGTACAGCTCTTGTAGGATCTTCTACAACATGTTCCCCCAATTTCTGTTCAATGTGCATGGATTGTTAGTGCCTACTGCATTTTCCTTAAACTGTGACAAGTGAATGCACATTTTAAAAGGACTGCTGCTGGTCAGCATACTCCTTGATGGTTGCGTGATCGCATTTCCATGCAACTTAGAGGAAAGATGCTCATCGACATCACCATCGTGACTTGGAAATATATCGCTGTTCCTTCAGTGTCACTGGGTTAAAATCATGGAACCTCCTCCCTAACAGCACTTTGGGTATATCTGCACCAGATGGACTGCAGCAACTCAAGAAAGTAGCTCTTCTCCAGCACCCATGGACATGGGCAATGAGATGCTGATGCAACTAACGAAGCTCACATCCCAAGAGAATTTTTTTTAAATCCTGACGTTCGCAGGTTTTGCTGGCATTTAAGAAGGAGAATCTGCTTGATACCTCTACACAGCATGCAGTGCCCAACTGTGTCACACAGACGAAGAATATAACGAGTGCTCTGTCTGTGGTCCGACTAGAGCACATTGTGCACTTTGTTCATAACTTTTAGCTTTGTAATCTACCTCTGGTAAGGCAGAATCATCCATCTGCTGCAATATGGCAACCTCCCTGTGTTAAAAGGCTCCACAGTCAAACCCATGCTACATGGCTCATTTTGCTCTCAATTTGCATTTTTGATATTTTGCTGAGGTTCAAGTGACGGCAGTAGTTTTTGCTTTCATTGTGATTTCAACCACAGGATGGCAGTGTTTGAGCAGAAACTGTCCCTTTATTGACAGTTTTTACTCCAGTAAAAATGTCCTGACCTTTCTGCAATTTGGAACAATTAGTGTCAAGCCCCTGATGGCTTATTTGGTTTATCCGTGCTGTTTTCATAGTGATTAAAGGGCTCACTTTATCTCTTGTTCTCTCAAACTTAAGATATTCACAAAAGAACCAGATGGGAGATGAGAATATGTTTTCCACAATGTCATCTGGAATTCAGTGGCTGAGAGGGTAGTGAAAGATTCAAAAGTAACTTTGTGTGGAATTGAATGTGTATTTGAAATAATTTTCCAAACTGTGGAGTGAGACTAATCAGATAACTGTTTGATAAAGCTGGTAGAGGCTCAGTGGACTGAGTGTTGTAATATTTGATGAGCTAAACACAGATTCTTCTGACTGGTTTTGAGTTTTGAGTAAAGCAAGAAGCCTTAAGTTGATTGCAGACAGAATTAACAGATAAGAGAAACATCTCTGTCATGGTTTGAAGGTGTAATTCTCTGCAGCGAAACTGCTGTTGAAACAGCTTCTGGCTGTGTCTCAGTCTCTCTAGTCTGTTATCTGGAATTGACTACATGGGGCAGGTAATTGTGGCAAAGTGTTAATGTCACTGGACTATTAATCCAGAGGCCCAGGTTAGTGCTGTAGGGACATGGGTTCAAATCCCACCACCACAGAAATGGAATTTAAATTCAATAAATAAAATCTGAAATGTAAAAGCTAGTCTTTGTAATGGTGACCTTGCAAACTATCATAGATTTTTGGTTCACTAATGTCCTCTAGGGTAAGAAATCTGCCATCCTTATCTGGTCTGGTCTATATGTGACTCCAGATCCACAACCATGCAGTTGACTCTTAACAGCCCTGTGAAATGATTTGGAGGGCTAATCATTTCAAGGGCAACGAGGGATGGGCAACAAGTGCTTGCCTTTCCAAAAATGCTCATATCTAATATAAGAATGCAGAAAAGTAAAGTTCCCCATGGACTGACATTGTGCTCTGCATGTTGGATACTTTTCACATTGATTTAGATTCGGCAGGCTCCTGCCAGGATGTTACACGTAATTGCACATTTTTGACAAAGTCTATTTATATTTAGAGCCATAGAGTTATACAGCATGGAAACAGACCCTTTGGTACAACTCATCTGCTCCAACCAGATGTCCCAATCTGACCTAGTCCCATTTGCCAGATATCCCTGTAAACCCTTCTATTCATTTACCCATCCAGATGCCTTCTAAATGTGGTAATGGTACCAGCCTCCGCTGCTTCCTCTAGCAGCTTATTCCATACATGTAGTACCCTCAGCATGAAAAAGTTGCCCCTCAGATACTTTTTAAATCTTTTCCCTCTCACCTTAAACCTACTGTCTTAAGTTTTGGACTCCCCTCACCTTGGGACAAAGACCTTGACTATTCTATCATGCCCCTCATAAAGTCGACCCTCATAAAGTTACCCCTCAGCCTCTGCTCCAGGGAGAATAGCCCCAGCCTATTCAGCCTCTCCCTATAACTCCAACCCTCCAGTCTGGGCAACATCCTTGTAAATCTTTTCTGCACCTTCTCAAGTTTAACAACATCGTTCCAATAGGGAGGCTATAATTGTATGCAATATCTTAAAAGTGGCCTCCCCAATGTCCCATACAGTTGCAACATGACGTCCCAACTCTTGTACTCAAAGATCTGACCAATGAAGGCAAGCATGCTAAATGCCACCTTCACCACCCTGTCTACCTGCGACTCCACTTTCAAGGAACTATGCACCTGTACCCCTAGGTCTCTTTGCTTGGCAACACTTCCCAGGGCCCTACCGTTAACTGTAAATGTCCTGCCCTGATTTGCCTTACTAAAATGCAACACCTCTCATTTATCTAAGTTGAACTCCAATGGTAGTAATAGAACGTGCTGCCTATTTGAGCTTTTATTCCATTGTGCATGTGCTACACTGCTTTTACTAAAGCTTGTTGCCTTTGAAACCTAATCATCCATTTCTGCCTTCATTCCCAACAGAGCGAGGACAAGGAGATGTTCCCACCTTTTACACATATGAAGAAGGCTTCTCCCATTTGAACCCTGAGGGGCAGGCAACTCTGCAAAGACTTGAAGGCATGTTAGCTCAGTCAGTCAGTCAACAGGCATTTCAGATGGCTGGTGTGCGGACAGAATCCTCTGTTGACAATGAAGGTGAAGTAACTCCAACTTTTTAAAACTTAATTTTATATTTAAAAAGTGGTGGTTGAAAGCTCTGTCTGGTAGCATCAAATCGAATATGACATTTCAGAAAGAAGCTTAGGGTGTGTATAGGATGGGCACATAAAATTGGCAGGTAATGCCACAACTTAGAAATGCAATCACTGAGGAGGCAAGGAGGACCCTGGAGAACTGCTGAAATTGATTGACATGAAATTTAATACAGATAAAAAAATACAATTTGGAAGAAAAAATGAGATGTAGGTAGACAAATAAATGGTACAATGTTAATGTGGCTGCAGAAATAGTGACATGAGGTGGCGGGGTGGTTTCTATGTATGTAAATATTTTGAAGATACCTAGACAAGTTAATATTGTTTTTCAACAGCCCGCCTTGTTCCCTGGCCAACATCTCTGTCTCAGGCTTGCTGCAGTGCTCCAGCAAAGCTCAATGCAAGCTGGAAGAACAGCACTTCATTTTCTACTTGGGAACTCTACAGCCTTCTGGACTCAATCTCAAGTTCAACAACTTTAGGGCTGGAGCCTCTGCCGTGTCCTTAGTTCAACCTCCACACATCAGACCTTATTATTACATTGTCTGCTATTGCACCCCATTGTTAGCTACTAACATTCCCCGTTAATAGCTGTTCATCCTCCTAGTCTGATCACTATCCACTTCTTTGTCTGTGCAACCATTCTTCTCTGTCTTTGGGCTCTATCTCCACCTATTGTTTATTCCTCCCTCCACCAAATCTTCTGCATAATAACCTACATTTTCCTAGCTACCATCGGTTCTGAGGAAGGGTCACCAGCACTCGAAAAATTAACTCTGATTTCTCTCCATAGATGCCGCCAGACCTGCTGGGCTTTTCCAGCAATGTCTGTTCTTGTTAATATAGTTATGCCTCTGTCCCCAAGTTCAGATCATTAATGTAAATTGAAAAGAACTGTGCTCCTCATGCAACATTGCCTGCATCCAGTCAGCCTTCAAAAAATAACCATTCAGCAGAATGTTCTGTTTTATATTTTTCAGCTAAATTCATTAATCCTGGCTTCCCCTATCTTTTTAATCACCAGGACTTCGATTTTGGTAACAAGTCTACTACGTGGAACTTTATCAGTTGATGTTGAAAGTCCATATGTACAACAGCCACTGCACTGCCTTCATGGAATGTTATCACTCAGCCCATCATGCCAGTTAGAGACATAGAGATATACAGCATGGAAACAGACTCATGGGTCCAGCTCATCCATGCCGACCAGATATCCTAAATAAATCTAGCCCCATTTGCCAGTATTTGGCCCATATCCCTCAAGCCTTCCTATTCATATAGCTATCCAGATGCCTTTTAAATGTTGTAATTGTATCAGCCTCCACCATCTCCTCTGGCAGCTCATTCTATATATGCACCACCCTCTGTGTGAAAAAGTTGCCTCTTAGGTCCCTTTTAAATCTTTCCCCTCTCATGACCCCAGGGAAATGACCTTGTCTATTTACCCTATCCGTGTCCCTCAAAATTTTATAAACCTCCGCCTCCAATGCTCCAGGGCAAATAGCCCCAACCTATTCAGTCTCTCCCTAAAGTTCAAACCCACCAACCCTGGCACCATCCTTGTAAATCTTTGCTGACTCCTTTCAAGTTTCATAACAAGAACCAAAAGAACTTCGGATGCTGTAAATCTGAAACAAAAACAGAAGTTGCTGGAAAAGCTCAGCAGGTCTGGTGGTAGCTGTGAAGAGAAATCAAAGGTAACGTTTTGGGTCCGATGACAATTCACCAAACAGAAGGGTCACTGGTATTCTGAGGAACAGTCACTGGACCCGAAATGTTAACTCTGATTTCTCTTCACGGATACTGCCAGACCTGCTGAGCTTTGCCAGCGACTTCTGTTTATGTTTCAAGTTTCACAACTTCCTTCCCATGGCAAGGAGACCAGAATTGCACGCAGTATTCCAGTAGTGGCCTAACCAATGTCCTGTACAGCTGCAACATGACCTCCTAATGCGCTGCCCAATAAAGGCAAGCAAACCAAACGCCACCTTCACTATCGTATCAACCTGCAACTCCACTTTCAAGGAACCATGAACCTGCACTCCAAGGCCTCTTTGTTCAGCAACACTCCTCAGGACCTTACTATTATGTGTATAAGTCCTGCCCTGATTTGCCTTTCCAAAATGAAGTACCTCTCATTTATCTAAATTAAACTCCATCTGCCACTCAGCACATTGGCTGATCTGATTAAGGCCCCATTGTACTCTGAGGTAATCTTATCCACTGTCCATTTCACATCCAATTTTGGTGTCAACTGCAAACGTACCTCCTGTGTTCGGATCCAAGTCATTTATATAAAATACAAAAGGCAGTGGACCCAGCACCAATCCTTGTGGCACACCGCTGGTCACAGGCCTCCAGTCTGAAAGGCAGCCCTCCACTAACACCCTCTGTCTACTACCTTTGAGCTGTTTGTAGCTTTTTTATAGAGTAACCTGATTCGTTATCCCTGCTTAAACCCTGTTCTGTCCAGTTACCTCTACATTTTTTTTCCTTTTTGAATATATCTAATTTCAATATGAATTGTTCAGGGTTGCAAATGGCACAGGAGGAATGGAATAAGGTGGAGGTAGGAGAAGGAGGGTGTCATTGGGATAATGAGGGTTGAAAGGTATGGGATGAGTCTAGCATTAGTGACGTGGCATGGGATGGGGATTTAAAGATGTATCATCGAAAGAAAGATTCTGATTTCACTGCACATGTTTTGCAGAGGCTAGTACGTTATACATAAAAATGCCGAAATATAGATTATTTAGGGGAATTGTCCATGACTCACTGTTTTTTGTGAAATTTATTTGATTTGCATGCCAAGCATATTGTTGCCGTAGATCAAACCCATCGTTATCTGTGTGACTGCTGCGTCTCACTGCTGACCACATCTGTTTTTATTACCTTCATACTTGCACGTGAAATCTAGAGGTCCACTCTGTTACTACATCAAAGAACGCAGTTCTTTAGTTACTGTAAGTTGGTGAAATATATTAGTGTCCCCATAATGTTTACTGCTAATCTTTTTTCAGCCAAGTTCTTTCCCCCAATTTTCTGCTCAGATCCCCACTACATACTTTGTATTTGGTGTGATTTTGTGCTATATTTTGAACTTAATTTGTTATCAGCCTTCTTTTTCTTGTTTTCATTGAAATTTCACAATCTTTAGTCATCAAGGGAGCTCTAGCTTTGAATGTCCATCCTTTTCTCCCTCAGATGTATGTGATAAAGCAAGAATATCCCACTGTTGGTGTGATGAGGTTTTGTGGTTTAGTTTATTCCTCATTTGATGCATTGTGAAGCTATTTACCTGGGTGTAATTAATAGTGAGGTAATGTTGGATATGGATGTCATACCTTGCTGTCTGTCAGCCATCTTCATGCCAGTTGCAAGTGTGATTAGCAAAGGTTAAACAGTAACACAAACCATGCTTTCTCCCTACTTTTCTTTATATCTTGCACTGCAAATGGCTACCAACATTTTCTTATTCACCCTGAAGTAGCCAGATAGCTTTGAAATACCATGCTGATCCACAGTGAGGTCTGTCAATACATTTTGAATCTGAGAGCAATGGAGGCAGCTGGAGATTCAAAGTATCGGCCACCAGGAAAGTGTCAGAATAAGAAAGGACCTAAATGGTGCTTATTAGGAATTGGGTGGAATATTCTGTCCCTCAAGCCTGATCACCACCATTCGGTTAGATCTTGCTTGACATTTACTAACTCTATTTTGCCCACCTGTAACTTCATTTTGCCTAATTTTTTAAAAACTCATCAATCATGAAAATTCCATTTCATCTTCAACATCACAGCTTTCTGGGGGAGAGAATTGCAGATCTCTTCCACAATTATGTCAGCAAGGGATTCCTGGTGTCACTTGCATAGACAACAAGCAGGTCAGCCATGATATTAATGAATGGCAGAGCAGGCTCAAGGGACTAAATGAAAAATCCTGTTTCTAAGTCCTATATTCCAAGATCATCTAGCTGTCATTTAAAGTTTATGCTGGTGGAAGAGGAGTTGATTTAGGACCTTCATGGAATTTTACTCTGAATGCAGCCTGACCTTATTGACTTTATGTACAATATGATGAATCACAGTTGTTAGCTCATAAGCATTTGCAATGCAGACGGAGGCCATTTGGCCCATCGCGTCTGTGCCAATCAACAAAGATCAGACTACACTGATCTCATTTTCCAGCTCTTGGCCTAAAGCACTTAGAGGCTATGGCACTGAAAGTGATTATCTAAAGACTGCTTAAATGTTACAAGAGATTCTGACTGAACCACCCTTTCAGGCAGTGAGTTCCAGACTTCCACTACTCTGAGTGAAAGAATTTCTTCTCAACTCTTCTAGTCTTTTACTACACTCAGTTTCTGGGGGACATTTATGTGACCAGTGTTGATTAAAAGTTACTAGTGTTGAGTTAATTCGAGGGACAGAACAGGGATCATATTTGATGAAGTTATTAAAACAATAATGATAGTATCTATTCCCTAAGCTCTTATGGAAAGATTTATGATGATTGATTGAAGAAATAGAGGGGATATGAGGAAAACATTTTCATCCCGTGCGTGGTGGGAGTCTGGAATTCACTGCCCAATTTGATAGTTGAGATGGGAATCTGGAGCTGCACCTGAAGTGCCGTAAGCTGCAAGGCTACAGACCAAGGATTGGAATGGGGAACTAGAATGATGGTCTAGTTTATTCAGCCAGCACAGACACAAATGTTTCTGTGCTATAACGTTTCTATGGTTTTATGGAAGTTTTTGTGCTCTTAAAAGGCAACAGCTATTTTAAGATTTTAGTAATGTGTGGGGCTAAGCTCAATGTTATTTGTGTGTTTAAAGAGCTATTTGTGTTTATGTAGCATTTATTCACAACCTTCAGACATCACAAAACACTTTACAGCCAATGAATTACCTTTTGAAGCCTTTTCATTAGCTAAGTGTAGATTGTACACACCATTACCAACACCACCAAATTCCATTGCCTGACATAAGAATGTAGGAGTTAGGAGCAGAAGTAGGCAATTCAACCTTTTTGAGCCTACTCCACCATTTAACATGATCAGGGCTGATCTTATCTTGGTCTCAATTCCACTTTCCTATCTGCTCCCCATAGCCCTTCATCCTGTTTTTCATTAGAAAGATATCTGTTTCTTGCTTGAATCTGCTGATTTATTCTGATTCCACTGCACTCTGAGGCAGTGAGTTCCACAGATTCACAACCGTCTGAGAGAAGTAATTTCTCTTCTTCTCAGTTTTGAACCTACCTCCTCTCCCTCTATATCAGTGACCTCTTGTTCAAGACTGTCTCACAATGGGGAGCATCTGTCCAACATCCACCTTATCAATCCCTTTAGCATTTTATATACCTCAATCAGATGCCCCGTCATTCTTCTGAACTCCGGTATGTATAAACCCAAACTATTCAACTGCTCCACATATGACAGCCCTTTCATTCCCTGGATTCAATGTGGTGGACCTCCTCTGAAATGCCTGCAGTGGCTCCACATCCTTCCTCATGTAAGGAGACCAAAACTGGACAGTACTCAAGGTATGACCTCACCAACACCTTGTATAACTGTAACAATGCTTCTTTCCTTTTATCATCCAATCATTTTGCAATAAATGCCAGGATTCTATTTGCTTCACCCTTATCATTCAACTTCTCCCTCGTTCCTGTGTTAACCTGTACACTTGACTGTTCAATTTTACTGTTGATAAGTTTCCCACAATCCACCTAGATGAATTTGAGGTAATATAAAACTCCGCTTAACTCACACAAAGTTCCCATATACCCCCGTGCTGGCGGACTACTATTGATTCTGTTCCAGTGACATCTGTTTTGAATGATTTAAATCTGTCTTGTGGATGTCTCTGGCTAGGCCAGTATATATTGAGATAACACGGTGTGGAGCTGGAGGAACAGAGCACGCCAGGTAGCATCAGAGGAGCAGGAAAGTTGACATTTCGGGTCAGGACCCTTCTTAGGTCCCAACATGAAACTTCAGCTTTCCTGCTCCTCTGATGCTACCTGGCCTACTGTGTTTCTCCAGCTCCACACTGTGTTATCTCTGACTCCAGCATCTGCAGTTCTTACTATCTCCCAGTATATATTAATGTCCTTAATTGCCCCTGAGAGGAGGGTAATGAGCTACTTCCTTGCACCACTGCGGTCTTTGTCTGTAACAAGACATCCTGATAATTTATCATCCTTATTTTCAGATCTTTCCGTGGCTTCTATTTGTAATCTCCTCCAGCCCAACAACTCTCTGAGATACTTGTGCTTCTTTAATTCTGGACTGCTGACCTCTCCAATTTTTATTGCTGTACCATGTTTTCAGTTGGTTGGGCCCCAAGCTTTGGAATACATGGCAACCAATGTGCACACGCTGTATGATTGTGCAAACAGCACTGAGGTAACATACCAGTTCATCTGCTTTTTAGGTGTTGTTTGAAGGATAAGTACAGGCTAATAAACAGGAACCAAGTCTCAAAAGACAAACAGGGCCTTGTTCTAATGTGCAAACACAATGCCTCTAGCAGTGCTAGATTGCTACCATAGCTGATGTGAAATTCATGCAGTCCTGTAATATTTTGGATCTAATTGTAAGTTCTCTTTGCAGATGGGATGGAGGTGGATGTTGCTCCAGTGGAAGCCGGACAGTTTGACGATGCTGACGTTGATCACTGGTAAATACTAATTGAAGAGTCTCATCAAGCATGTGTTGAATGATAAAACTTACAGTGGGAATTTAACGAAAGGCTCTTGAACAGGAATATTCTTTTCTTTGATTAATTGGAATTTGTTGGTGATCAGTCGGAACATCTTTTCAAAAAATAAGCAGCTAGTCCAACAAGTTTGGACCTCACTCCGTTCTCACACGATCGGAGTGTGGTGACTAAGTGCTTTCCACTTCCTTCCCTTGCAACCACATAATCCCCGGGAAGAGACCAATAAAGGAGAAAGATTTTGAAAATTTCCTGTCTGCCTCCCTCAAATAAGCAAAACCAATTCCAAAAATCATACCCACTTAATGTTCTCTATAAGAATACTTCCTTTCAACTTCCTGGCAGATTGGAGAGTGGCAAATGTTTAGAAAAGAGGGTAGGGAGAAAATTGGGAATTATAGACTGATCAGCGTAGCATCAGAGTGGGAGAAATGATGGTGTCTGTTATAAATGATGTAATAACAGGGCATTTAATAAAAAAACAGCAGTGTTACAGAAAGTCAGCATAGATTTGTTAAGAGATGTGATTGACAAATCTACTCAAGTCTTTTTTTGAAGATCTAAGTAGTAGAAATAAATGGAGAGCCAGAGGATGTGTTTTTGGAGCTTCAGAAAGTTTTTGATAAAATCCCACATGAAATTATTGTGCAGAGTCAAAGCACGTAGGGTTGGTGGTAATATACTGGTATGGATTGAGATTTGGTTAGCAGGCAGAAACAAAGTACAAATAAATGGTCTCTTTGGAGTGGAAGGCTGAGGCGCACTAGCAAGGGTCTGAGGTCTGTTCTTCGGCCCCAGCTGATCAAAAGTTATATCTACAATTTTTTAATTGTCATATTCCCTAGTTTGCTGATGATACAAAATATAAAGAGGCTTCAAAGTGATTTAGACAAGTTGAGTCAGTGGGCAAATATGAAGGTGTCAGTGGCAGAGTATTTTTTAAATGATGGATTGGGAAATATTGATGTACAAAGGGACCTGTTGTCTTTGTACACGCTACGTTAAAAGCAAGAGAAGGCACATTGTATGTTGGTCTTCATCGCAAGACTATTGGAGCAAGGGGCCAGGGCCTGAGACTAAGATGAGGAAAAATGTCTTCACACTGAGTATAGTGAACCTGTGGGATTTCCCACTACAGAAGTCCGTGGTGACTAGGTCACTTAATATATTTTAAGAAAGAAATAGCCACATACCACAAAGCTAAAGGGGTTGATGGGTATGGGGGAGTGTAGAGAATGAGTTAGAGGATCAATCATGGTCATGTTGAATGGCAGAGTCATTTGATGGGCCCAGTAGCCTACTCCTGTTCCTATTTTCTAAGTTTCTGTGCTCTCTTGTATTATACATAACACTTCAAGTTGACAGTTGAAGAACATATATTGCTTTGATTAGTTGCAGTGATGATGTTGCAGGTCTTCTACTTAATGTTAAATCGAATAAACATGAAGGAAATATGTACCGTCTGGAAAAAACACTAAATTAATTGTGTGGGCAGCGATCACATCCAACTCATTTCTAAGTAATCTCCTGAGTATTATTGATGTTGGGATCTTTAGCAAATTCTATCCCTAATTTCTGTGGGGAAAATGGTAGTGAGCCAGCACCTCAAACCGCTTCAGTCTTTGAGTATAGGAAAAGCCACAGGACTGGCAGGGAGGGGAGTTCCAGGCTTTTGACTTAATAACAATGAAGGAACGATGGTATAGTTCCAAGTAAGGTTGGTGTGTTGCTGGGGCGAAATTGCATAATGTGGTGTTGTGTATCTGCTGCTCTTGTCCTTCCAAGAGCTCTCAGGTCTGAAAGACTCTGCCAAAGGAGTCTTGGTGAATTTCTGCCAGATGTCTTAGTACACACTCTGGTCAGCTTATTTGGCTGGACAGCTAATTTGCAATGCAGAATGATGCCAACTGCTTGAGTTCATAGAATCCCTACAGTGTAGAAGCAAGCCATTCAGCCCATCAAGTCCACACTGATTCCCATCCCACCGTGACCTACCCCCCTACCCTATCCATGTAATCCTGTATTCCCCACGGCTAATCTACATAGTCTGCACATCCTTGGACACTGTGGGCCAATTTATTGTGGCTAGCTCACCTAACCTGCACATCTTTGGACTGTGGGAGGAAACCCACGCAGACACCGGGAGAAGAGCAAACTCCACACACAGTCACTGGAGGCTGGAATCCTGTCCTGGCTGAGATTGCCGTGAAGGACTCTGTCTTTCCCCTCGCCTGAATGATGGTGCCCCTCAGGTTAAACCACCACCAGTCATCATTCCCTAGTGAGAGAGCAGAGCCACAGTCTGGTAAGGCTGTGGTGACTTTGCTGTTACCTTATATGCTACTGTGACTGAGCATCGGTGGTGCAGGGAGTAGATGTGGTGCCAGTCAAGCAGGCACCTTTGTCCTGAATTATGTCTTGTGTGTTGGAGTTGCACCCATCCGGGCAAGTGGGGATTATTCCATCATATTCCTGACTTGAGCTTTGGACAGGCTTCGGGGCATTAGGAGGCGAGTCAGTCACTGCAGTATTCCTAGCGTCTGACTTGCTCTTGTAGCCGCAGTATTTATGTGGCTAATCCAGTTTATTTCCTCCCACTGTGGAGGATTTGATTACTTCATGGGGCCCCACTCCGTCCAGTATCTCACGCAAATATCACGGTTGTGTGTGTGTGTTGCGGGGTGGGGTGATCTGGTGACGTTCCTCAAGGCCAAGGCCAGTCAATTCTCTCACCTATTCTGCACGCATGCACTTTGAGAGGTCAGTCTGTACACACACGATCAGTAGCAGAGATCTCGGGTGCCAGACCCAATTGTACTGCCCCTTTGCTTGCAACAACTAACTCTGTGTAAACAAGGGTGGATACTAATTCTTGCTAGTCTCTTCTACTCAGTCACTCTGGTAACCCAGTAAACACTTGTTATTTTTCTTACAAATTTGCTATGTGTTATTTATGTCAAATCACATTGCAACCTTGTAACTTGCATTGTCTCCATGTGACCAAGCCACAAAAGAATTTCCTGTACAGTACAGAAATAGTAGGAACTGCTGATGCTGGAGAATCTGAGATAACAAGGTGTAGAGCTGCATGAGCACAGCAGGCTAAGCAGCATCAGAGGAGCAGGAAAGCTGACGTTTCGGGTCGAGACCCTTCTTTAGACCCAAAACGTCAGCTTGCCTGCTTCTCTGATGCTGCTTGGTCTCCTGTACAGTACAGCTTTCTCTTTAACAAAAGGTCTCTCTTTAGATAGAAGCTGCAAGTCATCAGAATAGCACTTGCGTCGTGCCAAACTCAACACAGCCACCACTTCACAGGCAAAGCCTGTCCTACTTCATTTTCATGTTGCCTTTTTCCTATTTCTGACTGCACCAAGGTAGACTTAACCTGGATGAGTGCAGCTCCAATAAACTGAAGAAGCTTGACATCATCCAGGACAAAGCAGCCCACTTGATTGTCCAGAATTATCCATTCCCTCTACCACTGATGTTCAGTCGTAGCAGTGTGTGCTATCTACAACAGAAATTCGCCAGAAATTCTTTGACAGTATCTTCCAAATCCACGATCTCTAAAAGGACAAGGACAGCAGATATACGGCAGCACCACCACCTACAAGTTTCTTCCGAACCCACTCACCATCTTGACTTGGAAATATATAGCCATTCCTTTGCTGTTACTGGGTCACAATCCTGAAATTACTTCCCTAACAGTGTTCTGGAAATGCCTACAGCACATGGATGCAGCAGTTCAAGAAGGCAGCCCACCACCACTTTTGCAAGGGCAATTGGGGGCAGGTAATATTGCAGTGAATATGTGATTGATAAATCTACTACAACCATGATAGACGGGAAATCAGACATTTGGAAAAAAGCACAATGTTAGCCAAAGAGAGAGAACTGCATTCATATGGCTCTTCACGAGCACTGAATGCCTCAGCAGTTTATACCTCATGTTGCTGCTGTTGTGATGTAGGAAAGTCAGTAGCTGGACACATAATGCAAACTGATGCCAACAGAGATGTGATTAGATCCAGATAATCTGCCTTTGCGATATTAAGGGGAAAATATAAGGCAGGACACCCGCTCTTTTTCAAGATACTGCCATGGAATTTTTTAATACCCCCTGAGCAGGCAGTTTGATACTTGGTCACTCAAAAGTTGCCACCTCCAAAGGTGCAGTGCTCCCTCTGGGTAGTCACTTGCACTTCATTGTCAGTCTTGATTTCTGGAACCAAGTCCTGGATTGGGACTTGAACCAGCATCCTGTGACTCGGGAGCAGTGTTAGAACTGAACCACAGTTGACACACTTCACAGCTGGCCAACCGAAGGACTATCAGTTCTATGAGGAAATACACAGTTCCTGCTGGACACTGATTTTAAGGATTCCTATCCTGCAATCAAATTCCTTCAAGACCTTGACCCTGACTCCACCCTCTGCGATCTCTGCGTTCCTTCAGTTCTGGATTATTTTTGTTACTTCTCCCATCTGAAGTTGTGCCTTCAGTTGCTTGGGTCTCAAGTTCCGGAATTCCTTCACCAAACCTCCCAATTCACCACCTCTTACCAGTCCCGAATGCCTTTTTTTGGCTCAGTATCCAATTCTGCCTGATTTGATTCCTGTGAGGCACTTTTGGGATGTTAGGCCACATTAAAGGCACTACAGAAATGCAGGTGGTTGTCATGATTGGCTGCAGGGATTGGAAGGCAAACAAATACAAAGCCAAGTTGAATGACTTGTTCACTCAGTAACTTCCCTGAAAGGATGCTGGTCCTCAGATGTGGTACAGTACCACATGTGCCAGTTGCTCACTCACCAGTCTCGTCATTATTCACAGACTTCTAACAGGCTGCTTTATTGAGTGTTGTCGCAGTCGCATCCAGTGCTTCATTGAAAGTCATACTGCTAACACTAAAATCTAAACTTTGGAACCTTCTGGCCTTTACAAATCAGATACTTATCAACTAAACGTGCTTTGTCCGTAGGTAAAAGTTTAAGTGAACAAGAATATGGTTCACAGGAACAGAAATGCAATCATTTTACCTATTAAACATTCTCCACCTCTGTCAATAATTAAATACAAATGTTTAAAAATCCGCTAAAGAGTGAGAGTCACAGGGTGATCACAGATGAACTCTGTGAATTTCATGGACTCTGATACAGAAACGTTGTGCTTGTTCAGTTGTTTTTGTACTGTATTAGTCTATTCCAATTGTCTAGTTTTATTGCTGTAATGTTAGTATCTATTTCAAAGTCTGTCTGAACTGAAAGCAAACAAAAGTTAATCTGGGACAGAGATTCTTTGAAATAGGAGGCATTCTGTGGGTTAATCCATTGAGGCTTTCTTTTGGAATATATGTTGTTTGGAACAAAAACTAGATACAAAATTTTTTTGTATCCTTTGAGGGAGAGACGAGGTTCTGATTTCATGTAGAAAGTACTTTTGAATTTACCACTGATAGACCATGAGGCATCTTTGAATACATGCATTTATAAATGGGGTTTTGCAACATTTCAAGTGAAGAGGTAGGGAATGGTAGGGAAAAGAAACTTGGTGTTGCCTAGCAACAGGAGTCCAAAATAAGCTGTTTCCACTGGATTCTGGAACTAGGGGCATAGGCTGAGAATTCAGGCCAGACCATTCAGGAGAGATGTTAGGAAGCACCTCGACACACAAAGGGTGGTAGATCTTTTGAACTCTCTTCCACAAACAGCAGTGGATGCAGGATAGGTTGTTAATTTTTAAAATCTGAGATAGGTAAATGTTTGTTAAGCAAAGGTAATAAGGGATGTGGGCTAAAGGTAGATATCTAGAGTTACACCAGAGATCAACCATGATCTCATTGAATGGTGGAACAGTCTCAAGGGGGCTGAATGGCCTACTCCTGTAGCTATGAGCAGAAGAAATATGTCTGCAAGTCGCTGCAAGTTGAGTTTAGGAAATTGTTTGCTCTGAAGTTAATTAGTTTATAGTTTGTTTTAGGTGCTTGGAGAGAGATACCAGCTGAAAAAAAACTGTAATGAATGCGTAGAAATTGTCCGGCAAGAAACTGGGTGCAGCTGTGCCAGCCTGAGTAAGAAGCGTAGGTGTGAAGATAGCAGTAAATCCTTATTGGGGTGTTGGTGTTTGTAAGGATAATCCTCAGAATAAAGAAATAGTGATGGGATTGAATCCTTTTCTTGTGTTTGTAATGAAATCTTTCCAATCTTTTATCTAATATAGTTCACATTGTTAATTTATCAGTTAGCTTTAGCTCACCCAGCTTTCATGCCCTCATGCTTGCCTTTATTGAAGTTTAAGATACTACTGTTGGACCTACTCTTCTCTCCCTCAAATTGAATGTAAACTTACATCAATTTATGATTGCTGTTACCTGTGGATGTCTTTGTTATGTGGTCATTCATTAATCTATCTCATTGGATAATGCTAGGTCTTGTTTTGCCTACTGTCTGGTTGGCTCAAGAATGTAATGCTCTAAGAAACTCCCAAAAGCATTCCATGAATTCCTTATCCAGGTTGTCTTTGCCTGTCTAATTTTTCCAGTCTTTATGTAGGTTAAAATCCATTATGCTTACGATTGTTTCTTCCTTTCTGCTCTGTCTCACCATGTGGTTACTTTTGGGAGGAACCTGTACCCCCCACTTACCTTCTTACCTTTGTAATTTCTCATAATTTCCCCAAACTACTTCAACATCCTGCTTTCCTGAATTTGAGTATTCCTTCCCAATTATGCTAATCCCATCATTAATTAACAGTCAGCTTTTCTGAGTTTCATATCCTTCCTAATTTTCAAATAGTCCTCATAATTCAGGTCCCAATCCATGTCAGTATAGAGATATGTGTTTGTAATGGCTATCATATTGTGCTTATTTCATATGGTTTAGAAATCACACGACACCAGGTTATAGTCCAATAGGTTTATTTGAAAACACAAGCTTTCGGAGTGTAGCCGCTTCGTCAGGTAAATTGAGAAAGAAGCACACGGAACAAAGAATTTATAAGTAAAATATCAAAGGGCCACACAACTGATGAGGATGTATTACACAAATATAAGATGCTGTTAAATCTTTAATCAGTTAAAAGGTTTTAATTGATTCACGCACGCACATGCGCACCCGCACTTCCCAGTGTCTCTCGCATGAATAAAGTTTTGGCAAAGCTCTGTAGCTCGGGTTGTGGGTGTAGGTTGTTGACTTGCTCGCCAAGCTGGCTGGTTGTAGTTCAAACATTTCATCGCCATGCTAGGTGACATCATCAGTGGAGTTTCCAATGAAGCAATGTTATTCTACTGTGCTTGGAATTTATACTGTCTGGTCCGTTACGAGGAGTAGTGCCATTTCCGGTTTTGATCTGTATGGGTTACAGATACATTCCAGGATTTTAGCCTAGCAACACTGAAGGAATGGCAATTTATTTCCAAGTCAGGATGCCAAGTAGCTTGGAATGGAACTGGCAGGTGATGGGTGTTCCCATTTATCTGCTTCCCTTATCCTTCTAGGTGGAAGTGGTCATGGGTTTGGAAGGTGCTGCTTAAGGAGCCTTAGTTAATTTTTGCAGTGCATCTTGTAGATGACACACTGCTGCTTACTGAGCTTTGTGATGGAGGGAGTGGATGTTTTTGCATGTGACAATCAAGCAGGCTGCTTTGTCCTCTGTTGTCAAGCTTCTTGAGTGTTGTTGGAGCTGCACTCATCCAGGCAAGTGAGGAGTATTCCATCACACTCCTGACTTGTGCCTCTCAGTCTATCATTTTCCATATTAATACATTTCCCTCTTGTCTGTATTCTTTAATTTACCACATTTTCCCAAATTTGACTCGTTGCCCCCACTATTTAGTTTAAAAGCGTCACTACATCCCTAGTTATGCAGTTTACGAGAACACCAACCCCAGTATGCTTTAGGTGTAGGCCATCCCAATAGTACTTTCCCCTCCAGTTTCCAACAAATGGAACACGCTTCAACCACGCCTGGAGGGGAAGTTGATAGAAAGAAAACCTGTTTTCAAAACATAAACCTCTATTTAAACGTGTAATCATTTTAACCTGCACTTCTATTTATGTTGTAGATGAGCTTCAAACGAAAGGAGTATCTAACTTGCGAACTCTGCATCCCATTGTGACGCAACAGTGGGTCAACCTGAATAACGGAAGCTTCATAATTAACATGCGGAAGAAAACGCAAAAAGGACAGCTGCCTAACTTGGTTTATATGTAACTAAACTGTTCTTAGGGGGAGGGGGTAAAACGTGTCCTGTATTGACAGTTATCACTTAAATTGCTCAATATAAGTTGGGATGCGATACTTTGTGTAGTGCTGTTCCCATATTGTGTACGTCACGTTTTGTGTCAATGAATGTTACAAGATTACGATGTTAAGTAAAACTTCTTTTGTACTGAGTGGATAACTGATTTGGGGGACCTGGGGAGGGGGCTGATTGTAAGAATTGGAGGGTGTCCCAGCAAGTTTCAGGCATATTTTCTGATTGTATTTTTTTGCCATGTAACAAGGCACAATAATATAGTTCAAAAATGTTTTTAAACTAAAATGTTAACCCTGATAGTTGTAATAGCTGGTCAATAATTGTACTTGGAACAAAACCACAGACTTTTTTTTTAGGGAATAAATAAATTGTTAAATTTGTACCTCCACAGCTGAAGGTGAATCAAAAGAGAAAATGCTTCATTATTAGAGTCCATTTCTGGCTATTGTCACTCACTATAGGCTTCTGAGCACCGATGTAGCATTAGCATTCCCGCCATTCGCATTCCCAGACCCAACCAGCAATTAAATGGAGGAACCGAGTTGGCTGTAAGTGATTCTGCAAAAAGATAGAGAGAAGTTCCTTGTTTGTTCATATACATCCAACAGAATCCTCCTGAAGAGATGCATAACGTCCAA